TTGTTGCAAGGACAATGACATAAGAAAAAAATTAGTAACAAAGGGAAAAATGTATTCTTTTCGTAACATAAACATGTGGCGTTAGAAAGATACAGTAAAAATAAATTTGAAAAAAGAAAAAGATATAGTAAATTTGGATAAAAAGATAGAGTAAATTAAAATCAATCAATAAGAGAGGTATTTATGATTTTGTCAAACAGAAATTTTAACGAAAAAAAATAAAAAATTAGGATACGACTAACTTTTTCACTTTTTCGATTAAGATGAACATCCCCTTTTTTGCTATATTAGCATATTAGAAAAGACCATTGCTATATTTATAACATTAATTATTACTTCATATATATATATGACACCCATACCAAAAATAATGTCGGGGTTGCTATATACTATGCATATTTCGAACTCTAAATTCAAATTAGAACTTAATAAACAATTAGAATATAACTTTAAAGTTTAAAAAGCAAAATTAGATGTCAAAAAAACAAAATTAGAAAATAGATTAGATTTTAGAGTTATATATATATATATATATATAATTATTTACTTATTTGGCGAGTGTATAAAATATTTATTAAAATATCAATAAAATGTCAACCATGGGCCAATATCACGAGATTTTTTATTCAAAAAAATAATTTAAAAAAAAAAAGAAAGAAGAGGCGGCTGAAATGAAACCTGACACCGCGTTATAATAAATTTCGTTTGATATTTCAATTCAAAATTTCCCCCACAAAACGCTGAAAAGGCCATAGAAAAGTCTTTGTTAGTTGGAAATTTAAGGTTTATTTTACAAGTTGAAAACCAATTACTATTATTTTTAATTAAAAACCGGCCATAAATTATGTATATATTTTTTTATATCTATATCCATGTCTATATTAAAATTGGAGGATCTTGAAAAAACACGAGTGAGGCGATCGTCTAAGGCCCCCAATCCGAAAAGGTCTCATCTTTTTCATATAATATTGTTATCTATTTATTTTAGTTTTTATCTATAAATGTAATTTAGAATATAAAATAATATATTTTCCATACATTTCGTTGTTCTTGTAATATTGAAAATACAAACTAATAATATATATAATTCTCTTGAAAAAAATCTTCAATTAAATATAAATCTTTATAGAAAAATAATCAATCCGGAAATTTCTCTTGATTTAGATTTTTTCCTTTTGCTTTTTTTTTGTTGGGAAGGAAATAGGACAAAAGCCCATTAAACTAAGAAAAAATGATAGGACCGACATGGAGACCCCTTTACCTATGCAATCAGTAGGGAATAGATCATCAAGAGGCTCTTTGCAAATATATAAACCTAAGGGAAGAAATAAATACTATTTAACTAATAAGTCAAAACAGCTAAAGAATTAGCTTCGCTATAAATTTGTCAGATACCAATTTTCGAAAAAGGAGTTACTCAATATTTAAAACCATAGACGGAATAACTCTCTATTTTAATTTGTCGCCTTTCAAAATTTGTCACTCTTTATCTTTTTTTTCTTCTTCATCATCGTGACCTTTCAAATTTCTGTTAAAAAAAAAAGACAAAAAAACAAACAAACCTAACCATCACATAAGGGATGATATCATAATTAAAATAAATAAAAAATAGAAAAAAACCCCTAAGCATCAACAAACTCTACCATAAGGGATGATACGATAAGGAATAACTCTTATTTTTTCTCCTTTTATTTATTTTTTTCACAATTAAAAATTTTAAAATTCTCTTAAAAAAACTCTACCATAAATATACGGGGTATGTTATACCATAGAAAATAATCTCTTGCTCTGATACCATTTTAAATATGAATAAACGACCATTCAATTAATACGCATAACCTGATGGTTTGGATAAATTTAATTCATTTATAGATACCTAATATAAAATATAGAAATTTATTGTATCTCTAATATAAAGTAATATAAGAAAGGACAGGTACCAGACAAATCAAAATATGAAACAAAAACAATAGATAACGATATGGTTAAAAATGAAGCATGTAATCAACAAACGGAAAAAAAAAATCATAGATCGCATCAAAGTATCTCTTTTAAAATTTTGTCTAACGCCACATATAATCTTGAGCCACCCCTAGACTACTTATACATTTTCTTAATTTATAAATTTACAAAACATGTCATAGAAAATTAACCGTAAATAGTAAATTAATTAACTACTTATCAATAATAAATAATTACTTAATTATCCACCCTAACAATTACATGGAATCTAAAAATTTGTTATTTAATTTATGAAATGCTTAGGGCTCATTTCTTTTTTGTTTTTTGTTTTTAATTTTTCAAAAATAGGGTTGTTTGATAACCAATTCAATTTTTGTTTTTCAAAAACCATTTTGAAATTCTATGTAAATTTCAAAAAAAAAAAGTAGTTTTAAAAAAACAGGCTTTTGTATTTTAAAATATGATTTTTTTTCTTCTAATACCGAACATATTTATCTCTAAAAATTTTATTTCTCACTCTAAAATTTTTTTATTTCTAAAATTTCTCTCTATAAAGGTATTAAAAATGAAAATGACCGGAATTTGAGGAAAATTGAAGAGGGAGAAGTGAGTAGAATTTGAGATAGATGGGTGAAAAACACAAAATTGTCATTAAAATAATAAATAAAATATTAAAATTAAAGGGCAAAACAGGAAGATAAAATTTATTATCGTAGCCCTTTTTATATATAGTACATAGTACAGATACAGATAAATAAGCATTTTCTCCTCCCTTTGGAGGGCGACGTTTTTGCTTTATTTTTAGTTCTCTCTCATTTTCTTATTCTTAAAATTTCTCTAGTTTTGAAAGCAACTCATGCCATACATGCTAAGTTCAAGTTAGTACAAAATTTATTTGTTAAAACTATATCATGATTCGTAAGTTTGTGCGGTTACAAATTTACTCTGATGAAGTTAAATGATAATTTTTTTGTCTAACAATGCAAATTTATCTTCAAGAACGTGTGTATTGATTTAGTTTTTTAGTTATTTTATAATTGTTTTATTATTGTATTTTTTTTATTTGCTAATATTTTTTTATAATTAATATTATTGTATTTCTTTTTATTTAAAATGTTTGTGCATGTTTTAATTTTAATTTGGTAACCCAAATTTCAGTTCAAATTTTATAAGCAATTTAGCATCCTTATTAAAATATTTTTCCTTTTTTAGTAACAATAATTTAGATATATTATCTTAATTATTTTTAATAAAATTAAATAATATTCGAGGTAAATATTAGATAGAACTATTTAGCTCAAAATAAATTAATCATTTTTTATGAGTTGATTAAAATTTCTTATAAACCAAGCGTAAACCTATAATTTACAATATAATAATTTTTCTTTAATGAAAAGTTTAAAAACATATATTTTTTCAACCCTAACATAGTATAACAATAGAAGATGTATGTTAAAACTATTAATATAGTGAATGAAAATAAGATAAACTAATTTTAATTATTAGTAAAGTTATAAACTATATCATATTAGATATATAAATGTGCATAGGCACGTAATAAGAAACTAGTATTTATAAACGTAGGAAATTTTGAGGGATGTTTTCAATTTTAGACTATGCAATTGAGGAATTTATGAATCCAAATATAAAATTTAGTGTATGAATTCATGATCGGTAAATGATAGCATCTTATATAAAAAGTGAGATTCACGGAGAATGTTTGTAATGGGTAGCTTTTATTTTCATATTGAATATAGTCTGTTTTTAGTTGTTTTTGTAAATACAACATATAAGTGTGGAGATTCGAACTCACGATCTTTTAGTCGGAGATAGATATTTTGTCAGTTGAAATATGTTTAGATTGGTTCATTTTTATTTTTAGTTGATATACTAGACCATTAAGAAAATTATAGTGTTGCTACTTATTTTTAATTACTAATTAATTATGTAAATTAAGAAGAATTAACTATTCACATTTTTTTAAAATGTTACCGTTGCTAACCCCATGTTTTTCTGCTTGCCTGAAAGGAGACAGCATCTCAGTTAATTACAATACAAATTTAATAAAAAGTAAAATGTAGATCTAAGTTCTAACTCATAAATCATAATTTATTCTCTCTTTAGTTTTTTAATTATAAAATCAACATCGTATCATTGTGTTCCTAATATAATTTCACATTCATTTATATTTTTTAAGATCAAATTAAATCATTATATATTGACTGATCTTCTTCACGGATTCAAATCAATGAAATAAATTAAGTCGAGAATATCATATCATTTTCTCATCTTAAAACTTTTATAATTGACACTTTTAATCCTTAAAGTTTGAAAAATAATTCTAAAAAACAGTGAATTAAGTTGATTGTTAGTTGACTAAAAAAACGTGACATTATTTATCTGACAATTTTAAAATGAAGTATTTTTTTATTTATTTTCAAATTTGTTAGGTTATATTTACTTTTTTTTTATATATTTGTTATGTATTTTAAAATTTTACATAATTTTGAAAATGTATTTTTTAAATGAAAAACGAAAAACAGACAATTACCAAACACTTGTCTTTTTCAAAAATTGGAATTTCGAAACAACAAGAACGTCATCAAATAGACTGATCTTTCTTATACGAAGTAACCTTTAAATTTAAACTATCAAATATATGGTTAAAACACAATTTTTAATTATGATTACTTTCTCATGCACTAACTCGATCAACCATACAAAATCGAGAACAATATATCGTTACAACTTACAACCCCACGAATAATTTCTCACAAATTTCTTCGAAGCTCAAATTTAATAAGTTTGAACAGAAAACTTCCTCAATAACCACTTCAAAGCCCAAATCATATGAACTTTCTTCATCCAAAACTCAATGAATATTTTACTTCAAACTGCCAACTCATTCATTTCTTATGAGAGAATCTTAAAACATAAAAATATAAAATAAAAACAAAACAAAACAAAAAATTTTCCCTTATAAAATTGCTTAATTACCAACTTCTCCCTCTCTAAACCCACCATTTGTAGAAAGAGAGATGGAAGACTCATATTTTCCACTTCCAATCACAGCCATTCTCCTCATCATTCTCATCAACCTATCAAATGCAACCATAGATGACACCCAATTCATCAAAGCCACTTGTCAAACCACACCCTATCCTGATCTCTGCTTCTCCTCACTCTCCGCGGATGCCGTTTCCGTCCACGGCAGCCTCCGCTCGATGACCATCGCTGCCCTCACCGTCGCCCTCACACACACTCGCTCCGCCTCGTCGATGGTGGCAAGTTTGGCTAAGTCGAATGCACTGGCACCGCAAGAGACTTGGGCTTTGCGTGATTGCATTGAGGAGCTTGGAGACTCTGTGGAGGAGCTCCAAAGCTCAGTGGCGGAGTTGAAAGACGGTGATGGATCTCGACCCGAGACCGATGATATTCGGACGTGGGTGAGCGCTGCTCTGACCGATGACGACACGTGCATGGAGGGACTCGTCGGAGACGGCGGCGGCGTGAAGGAGTCGGTGAGAGGACTGGTGGTGGATGTTGCTCAATTGACAAGCATTGCTCTCTCGCTTGTTAGCCATCTGAAATGAGAGAGTGAATCAAATGTTTTAATTAATTTTCGTTATTTCTCGAAAATTATTTGTCATTTTGTTTTTGCCCAACAAAACCAGTGAGAGAAATTGTTAGATTTAATCTTGTTGGGATCAGAAACCAATTTTTTTAAGAAATTTTTGGGAATACTTATTGGGTTGAGTTGAAAACTGATATTTAGCACCTTTTACAGCTTAGATTTTGAAAATATAAAAAAAAAAAGATGCAAATTAAAGAAATATATTGGTGAAAGTAGTCTTGGATTTGGAATACAACTAATAAATTTCATGACTAAATTTATAATTTAATTGGACTATTATTTATTTAAGAAGTTTTTTTCTTTGGTAAAAATTCTTTAAAATACCATCCAAGTTCTTGAAAATAGTTAACTACTGGATTGGATAACTTTTGGTAAATAATAATTAACCGGATTTCATACGGTATGGTTTAAATTCCAAAATATATTTCCTTTTTCCTAGGGACCCTCCTTAGAATTTTAAATTCAAAAAAGTAACTTTTTGAGATGTCAAATGCAATTATTTTATTTATTTTTTTCTACTTGAATTATATTTCGAATCAACATTGATTTCCTTAAATGTAATGAACATCGTAATTAGTACCAATCTCTAACCAAAAGATCAATTCGAATTCTCTTCACCCCACTTGTTGTGCTAAAAAAAATCAAATTATAATGGAAAAAAATAATTATTCCAAACCCATTAGTTAGATTTATTTTTTTCAAGTCAACGGGTAAGTTAGGATTTGGACTTCTCTTCCAATATGTTTTATCACATCTAATATCATATGAAAGATTTGTCATAATTAAGGGAATTTAAAGGTGTTAAAAAAGTTTGATGACCCAAACAAGGCAGACAATCCAACCCAACCTAACTTGGATTTGGTTGGAAAAAACAATGGTTTGATTTGGATTAGTTTTTTCCATGTGTGTGCGTGTGTGTTTCGCCTCCCTAACACTCATCTTCCTCTCCCTCCCTCTCTCTTTCTCCTCCGACTTCCGACGGCGACCGTCGCCTCATCTCTCCAATGGCCTCCTCCCTCTACTCCAATCCCTTGTGTGCATGGGTCGAACACTGCAAAATTAGCAACACTAACAATTTCAAAAGACCTTGAAATGAGAGCTTCCAATTTACCTAGCAAATTTGCCCAACAATTTAAGATTGGAATGGCAAAAGACCGCCGCCATTGAGATCCTTTAGCAATTCGAGTTATCGTACCAGGACAAAACATAGGGAATACATATGCATTTTACAAAGAATTTCAAATGTGTCAAGAAGAATTAAGGTTCGTTGATTTATACTCGAGGGAAAGCAAATCCACTTTAATTACTTGTATTATAAACTAAAAAAAAATGTACACTGCATCTGCAATTAGTTCATCTCTCTTCCCCTCCCTCCCTCATCTCAACCCGACGATCCGTTCGAACCCAAAAATATGATGGTTGTGTTGTAACAACCTTAGTTCTTGGCCAGTCCCGAAAACCCATTAACCCAACCCAACCGTGAACACCCCTAATCATAAAATCAAATATATTTTTAAATTTAACTTGCACTAAGAGCACAAAATAAACCTAAGCATAGCTAACTCATAAAGACATATACCCTCGCTAGAGAGAGTCGAACCCCACATGAACTTGAAAAGAAAAACAAAACAAAACTTCAAAAACTTGTATCATCCTTCAAATCTTTTCTTTTCAGTTACTAGAGAGAGAAAGTATAAAGTGGGAGAATATTAGATGTTAACGTGAATATAACTCAATAATAAATGTCATCTATTCCATCCTTCGAATCAGATTTATGATCCTTGTACCTTTTGTTACCTTGAAAACAAAACAAAAAATATTACAACCTCATAAAAAAATAATATTTGTGAACTGACTTTAGAAAATCACCTAAACTTACCAGTCACCAGGAAGGAAAAAAAAAATCATAATATATCAAATCACTCATTCCCTTTAAACCTTTTACATTCTTCATTGGTCCAATAGCCACTTTTGTTTGCTTCATGAAAGGATTTAAATAAATCCACCCACAAGAGAAACTTACATAGATTTCTTCGAAAAATAAACCCACAATAAGAAATTATTGTACTAATCTTCACCTCCAAGTGAAATTGATCACTAGATTAGATAATATAACCCCAGGTTATAAGCAAATATATTCTTGCCAGTTCCTACCCCACATTTATAATGCTATACTATTAAAAAAACAAAAACAATGCACCATTCTGGCTGTCATTCTCTCATTTTATGTTTACTTTTATATTCTGTTACCTGATCAACTATACTGATACAGTATGTCCATGGACAGAATTAAATTACAAACATTCTTTCGTTAAGTTTCTCCGGACATAGGAAAGAGAAAAGAGAGAGAGAGAAACCCAAAAGTAGAAGAAAATGGAGGATGAGAAATAAAATAAGCACTAAAATGAAGAACATGCTGAATTGTTATCTGAACAAAAAAGTTAAATAACAGAGCAGCAGAACATGATGTAAGTTTGTGGACATGATGCAGCAGTCGCTATTTTGGACATGAAAGATCATTCCACATTAGCCACTGGCACTGCTAAATACGTTTGAAATTTAAACCAGGATGTTTGGGTTTGTTCCAAAACAGATTAGCCAGGGATCAAAAACCAATAATCAAACAAAAATTAAGCAAGAAAATTATTTCAACTTCAAAACGGGTCTATCTCAATAATTCAAAACGATACACACTCCAAACTGCACTTGAAAATTATAAGAAATCTTTCTGACCAGTTGATGGTAATTGGGTTGCTTTGTTCATCTCATTTGGACAATTCCTGCGCTAATCAGCTTCTGGATTTTGTTCATCACCATTGGATTCTTGGTGTGTTCTTGCGCGGCCTTTGGATTTTCCTGGAAATCAATCAACACCTGCGAAAGGGCAAATCGCATGAATCAAATTCAATGGCAGATGGCAGAAGAGTGGAGCTGTTCGATCCAGAATTATGCAGCTACTGAGAACAAAGTCTAAGAACTAAACCTACCTGTCTCATTACGGGATCTGTGAGAATATTTTGGATTTCTGGGTCCTGCATCGCCTTGGCCTGTAGATGAAAAATTCATGTCAGATCAGTTCAAAGAATGCAGTGTAAACTAAAAGCTCGGTTCAGGTTCTCTCAGAAAACATCCCATACCTGTCTTTCCTTCAATTCTTCAGGGGTCAAGTCCCCACGGCTTGCCTTGTTAATCTGTTCTACACATCTGCAATTCAAGTTTCTTCAGTTAAGTGAATTTCTTCGCTACAACCAACTAAAATAGAATTGCACATCCAAATAGGTGATGCTTACCTTCTGCTACCATCCAGCAATTCTTGGTTTTTAGGGTCATGTTTTAATCCCTCCTGATAAGTTTCCAAAGCTTTCTCATATTCTTTCATGAAAAACTGAATTGCACCTTTCCTTGTATAGCCCTTTGCAAACGTAGGATCAAGCTCGATGCACTTCTCTGCATCCTTCAATCCCTCAGGCAATGCCCCCAACTTGGTATAGCATGCAGCACGGTTACTATATGCCTGAAAAGAAACGTTACATCAGAACACAACTAGCCATAAGAATTTAATCAAATTCTTCAAAGACATCAATATTGCTCTTACCCTTGCGTCCTTGGGGTTTCTCTTCAAGGATTCTGAGTAATGTTTCATGGCCTCGGGATATTTTTGCTGCTTAAAATACTCATTGCCTGCATACAAGTTAGCAAACATATGAAGTTAAGCGTGCATGGCAGTGTGATATGAGAAATAAAGTACGATTGAAAGTACAAAATCATGCAGCAATTGATTGAGGGAAGTTGAAAGGGAAAACAGAATTCAAGCTTAAAAATACAGCAGATTTCCACATTTTAGTTTTGGCTACGATTTTCAAGTTAGCCAATTGCTTTAATCAAGTAATAATATGAAAATCAAACACTCAATATCTTCTACAAACTCAATCCATTCAGTTATATTTTAAAATTAAAAGCATCAGAAAACAAAAACGATCAAAAGCTAGGAGGAAAGGGCATACCTTTTTCCCGTTCCTCATCAGCCATCTTAGGATCAAAATACTCTTGTTGCTCTAAGTCCTTCTTTGATTTCTCAGCATCATTAAGTTTCTTCAGGGTGTCAGGATTTCTATGCTCGGTAAGAGCCCTCTGGAAGGTTTCTATAGCAATATCATAATCATTTGAAGATTTTGCCATTTTCACAAAGGCTGTTCCTTTCCTGGTCAAAGCCCTTGCAATCATCTTAAAGTCTGACCTCAGCTCCCTTCCCCTCTCAACAGCCTTATCACAATCTTTGATACACTCCTCGTACTGCAGAGAAAGAACAAACGTAACTTAAGGCCTCAGAGTTCATAATGCATTAATGGGAAACTCATTTGGCATAGAAGAAAATATGACAAAGGTTTCTTTTAGATTGTTTTCTGAAAGACCCTTTTCATAAATAATTTTTATTCAAAATTTTCCATCGCCTAAACTTCAAGGCTGTACCTCAAGAACAGACAGACAATAGATAAATACTTGCATAACTTGCCTAACATAATATAGGAATGGAAAAAAATCAAGAAAATTTTCAACGTTAAACAATTTGTAAAACCAAATACCTTTCCCATCTCCAAATAGACAGCAGCACGATTTGTAAGGAAAGAGATGTCCTCATCGTCCAACTCCAACGCCTTAGAGTAATGATTAATTGCCTTTTCGAAATCCTTCTTCTTGTACGCCGCATTGCCCGCCTCCTTCTCCTTCTGTGCCTGCAGCTTCTTCTCCTTAGCCTCCTTATCCTCGTCCGCCACTTCCATAGGCTCTGGTTCAGGCTCCTTCACCGGCTCGGCCTCCGCAGCTCTTTTTCGTTCCGCTGGCGGAGATGAGGATTCAGCAGGAACATCTGGTTCCTCCTCCGCCGGATTATGCATCTTCAAGTTCAGTAAAACCCCTAACGATTGCATTACTCTCTGATCCTTCAAATACGTATTTATACTGTTAGGGTTTCTCTGAATCTCCTGCATTATATGCAGAAAATCAGGCTGTTGCAGAAAAGCCCTAGTCGTCGGATCAGCGGTCAGCTTAGCCCACATCTCGGGCCCGGAGAAAACGTTGCCGAAGGGATTCGGCGGAGGCGCTGGCCGCGACCTGGAAGCCGCAGACTGAGCATCAGCCAGTCCAGATTTCAAAGGTTCATTGTTAGGATCAATCTCAAGCCCCTTCTTGTAAGCCGATATAGCCGCCTCGTGTTCTCCGAGGCCGAGATGAGCAGCGCCGAGTCGGCTGTAACCCTTGGGCCAGTCGGGCTTCAACTCCACAGTCTTCTCCGCGTCGGCCAAGGCTTCGGAATATTGATGGAGAGAAGCATAAGCAGCAGATCGATTAGAGTAGAGAACATGATTGGTAGGAGCGAGTTCGATAGCATCGGAGAAGTGGCGGACGGCGGTGGAGAAGTCGCCGGCTGAGAACGCCGCATTACCCTTGGCTTTGGCTTCGTCGGCCATGGAAAACTGTACCGTCGAACAAGAAATCGGAGGAAATCCGGCGGAAAAACTTGCAGAGATTGACGATAATTTGGGCGAAACGAAGAGGAAAATTTAAATATTCGAGAAGAATCCGAAGGAGAGAAGAAGAAACCAGAGAGTTCTCGTTGTTAATTTTGAAGAATTAAGGATTTGATTTCGAAGGAGTTCTCGAATGTTCGATTGCCTTGGAAAGTTAGGGTGTTTGGAAATAGGGTTGGGCTATCATCTCTTGGAATGGACAAAATATCTGTTTGGTTGTAGACGAAATATCAGTCAATTATAGTCAACGATTATGGTTTTAAATTTTCTAGGTTAAAATACCATTATTTGCAAAATTTTGATACCGTTTGGAAATTATAGCTATATTTTAATAAATATATTGAATATAGTGTTAGTGTTAAAATGGTAATAAAAAAAAGAGATAAAATAAATGAAAAGATCATATTTTAAAAGTACATAGAAATGAACGACTCAAAATTATAATTACTAAAATGACCAAAATTGAAAGCGCATGAATTATTAATATAAATATTTTTAAAGTTGCGGGACCAAAATGAACAAAATCTTATATTATATGGACTAAAATAGTATTTTCGACCTATTTTATAACAATATTTTAATATATCAAAATAAGACTCCTAATAGACTCGAAAATAATTTTGATCTACTTTAACGATTATATATTTAATGTTTTTTAAATCTGATCTAATTTAAAATATAGATTATATACTTCTTTTTAAAACAATAATTTTTTGAATTTGATGAATGTTTTACAACTTTTAATCTAATGTGATACTCGATAAATATATTTTTAATTTTAATAGTTACTATGAATATTGGATATAGGTTAGGAAAATTATTATAATAAAAAACGCAATATCTCGAAGTTTTTACCGATAAAAAACAATGATTTTCTTAATGTTTTCTTCGACAACAAGCAATACTTAGTATATTAAAACGAAATATATGCGATATATACTCAAAATATACTTTATATCAATAATTTCGTATCAATTTAACATTACAATGTAAATGTAACATATACTCTCAATATATACCATATCAATAACTTTTTATTTTTTTCATTTTGATTCATGTATTTTCAAAATATCCATGTTGGTCCTTATAATTTCAACATTTATTAATTTTAGTCCATGTATTTTCAAAATGTCTATTTTTGTTCATGTACTTTTAAAAAATATGCTATTTTGGTCCACATTTGTTAAATTATAAATTTTATACATAATAAAAATCATTTAATAAAATATATGACTACGTCTAAAAAAATTTAATGAGTGAAATGTCATGCTACAGTTTTTATTGGAACAAATGAGATGAAAAAAAAAGATAAAAATTGGACTAAAACATACTTTTCAAAAGTACGAACTAAAATAACAAAAGTTGAAGTATAGAAATAAAAAATAAACGTTTTAAAAGTATAGGGACAAAAAAAAAACTGGAATTAGAGGACAAAATATAATAAATTAGGAATATGTAGGAAAGAAATATAAATATCAATTACGCTGAGCTATACTCATATCCACGGGACAAATAGATTTTTTTTTTCGGCATGGAAGGAATATTATCTAAACTTTATTTTAACAAAAAAAAAAGTTTATCCATCTAATCCAATCCTTTATTTTGTTTCCAATTTCATCCTAGAGATAAGAAATGATAATAATAATAATAATTATTATTATAAGTTTCTAACATTCAAAATCGACATATTATATTAAAAAAAAAAGTTTGGGCTTATTGTCTCTATTCTCTCTCTTTACCCTCTTTTCCCCACATTCAACTCGAATCTGCAGCAGACGAACTCCTGTTCATCAGCGGTACGCATTCGATTTTAGCATTTTGTTCTTTTAATCCGATGATTAAATCCCACTTCTTTCCCCAAGTTCAGGAATTCAACTTCCGGGTTTTCATTCTGTTGCCCTAGCGTTTCTTCCAAATCTCTGGGATCCATTTTTTACGATCTTGTATGTATTGAATCTATTATTCTCTCTCGATTGCATTTAAGACCGTCATTTCCAATTCGCGATTGCTATTTGATGAGGGTTTAATGCGTTCCGTTCTGCACTGGTTGTAAATTTAGGCAAATCTGAGTTTCTTGTTGTGGGTTTGAAGAATGTGACGATGAGGCTACCTGATTTTGTTTATCGTCTATGTCATGCGCTGTAATTTGATAAATGATAACTTCAAATGTGGGAGATTATGTAGAGGCGGTATGGTTTTTAAATGATTTTGAACGAAACCAGTTTTATTCCCTGTTAGATAGTGCGTCAATTTTAGCAAATAGTTAGTTAGTACTTGAGGAAATTTGTGCGCAATAGTTGGTTAATCCTTGAGATGTTATTTTGAATTGATTTTCCATAGTCCTGTAATTCTTCTGATTCTTGATTAAAATGCATTAACTGGTCAGTGTATTCCTCTATTTGGCATTCATGTTAACGCAAGGCAGATTGGAAAAGCCTTTCCACAGTTTTTTTTAATGTATAGTTTAACTTTTACAGAATAAGCACAAGAAAGAAATCATTCTGTTTTCTTTTCTCAGTCTTCCTTGAGGAGTTTTTTCCTCTCTCCTATTTCTTTCTTTCTCCTCTTGGCTTCTGCTTTAACAATATCTCAGATTTCCTAGAGGGTATTTTCTTCTCTTCTATAGGATTTTATAGTTTATCAACTTAAATCTTCTGTATATTCTGGGTTCAATGTGATTATTATCTTTGTTAGGCTTTGGCTGAAAACTAGAACACTAATAATGTGCAACGATCCACTTAAAAATTAATTACTTTCTTAATTTTATTGATAATTGGTCTGATGATGTGAAATTTTGCTGGAGTATATTTTCCTTGGACCTTTCTTTTTCCTTCCCTTGTATGTACATGTAATTGTTGTGTTTATGATTAAAAAACAATGAGTGCATACAGCTTACCTGATAGGTTGGGAGTGGTGGTAAAATTTGTTAAGATATCATAGCCTTTAGTTTGAAAACAAGAAGCATGGACTTTGACATAGACAAGATGCAATATGGATACAGCAGCACATCATTATTTGGGAAATTAGGACTCCAAATTTATTTGGCATGTTTCTGATGTGTTTGACAAGTGTTCTGAACGCGTTTAATATGTGCTTTATAATCGTTCCATCACATGTTGAATATACTTTACAAGTATGTCACATATGTCAGAGTGTTCTACGAAGCAAATATGTCAGAGTGTTCTATGAGTACCAACACAAACACATTATCCACACTCAAGTGTATTTGCTTCATAGGGTTTGAATGAACACCGTAACTGTCTATTTGTATTATTCGTGTATATGGATTATCTTACTGAATATGAATTCAGGCTTTACTAGGAGGGAGGCATAACAATTTTTTCTCCCTCGAAAATGGGGTTGCAATTGTAGGACTTGTTCCAAATTGTTAAGTTCTTTAGAAAAGAAGTCATGGTTTGTTTTTATTTGGTTTTAGAGTTATTAGGTGACTGCCCAGAAAATCAGCCTGGAATTTGATCCCTGATCTGTTAGGGGCGATTAATATTATACTGCATGGTGGTGGATAATTGAATATCCTCTGAAGTCTGAACTTTCTTTTCTCCTAGCATGTTATTATGTAACTTATATTGTGCTTCCATATGCTTTTTGTAAGTTTCTATGATTATTGGTTCTATAATGATCTGTGTCATGTTTTTCAGGTAATCTGACTAGTCGCACAATGGGTGATTTCTCCATTCAGATTAGTTCAAACCTTGTTAATATGCTAGTTGATGATACCGAAAAACCGAAAAGAAAACCAAGGAGAAATAGAACCAAGGTACCGCAAGAGAGTAAAAAGCCCCAAATAAAGGTTGATCAGAAACATACATCTCATGATTCTGGAATGCTCAAGGGAAGCACAAGCGACGGATGGCCGCACCAACACCCTCCGCTCTTCCTTCCTGTAATTCCTCCCGTGCATTCTGCCAACGGAGAGCTAGACGCAATCCGATCTGTCCTGAAAGAGAGCGAAAGGGTTGTGGAGAGGTTGCAGAAGCAGGAGGAGAACATGGTGCAGGAAGTCACTCAAAGGGCAAAAGACCTCCATGACAGGGAATTCAAGCTCCCTTACCAGAAGCCAATGCCATGCTTGGCTGAGAGCACTGCGTGTTTTCAGTGCTACAAAGATCATGCCAACGACCTCTTGAAATGCGCTCGATTCGTCAAGAATTTTGCTGATTGTAACCGCCAAGCTCGGCAGCAAATGAGCTCGGCCGAGAAGTAGGATTAGGATTGTCTGCAATGAATCTCAAAGTTCATATGCTCAAAATATTGTGATTTGAAGTTGTTACTGAGGAAAAAAAACAAAACAAAAACTGATTTTGCCAACAGAAATAACCCAAGACCAAGACAGTTGGGGGTTGCTTTGAGTCAAAGTGTCTATTGTGTTAACGGTATGGCAAGCCTTTTCTTTTAGGCTCTGCAGGACGCTGAGGCTTATTTAGTAGGAGTTTATTTTAGAATTTAGAATCAGTTTTTTTTTAATTAATTTTTTAAAATTAAAAGAAATCAGAAATTAGCGGCTTATTTACATTTTTTTTGGTTTAAAAACAATGGGTTAAAATCTAGTTTGATTTTAAAATGTTCATTTTGACCTCAATATTTTTAACTTTTATCTCTTTTTAAGATTATTATATTTCAGTCACTAAACTAAAATTATTATTTTGATTTACGAACTTTCCAAAAAGGTGTATTATAGTCCTTAAATTTTTTAAAAATAACTAGTTTGGTAACTTTTATTTTACTTTTAACAAAATAAATAATGTAACATATAATATGTGTCCTAATGTGCGTATGTATTCAAATCCCATATATATTAAATAAAAAAATGATTTTTTTAGTACAACTTCTTGTAGATAGATGTCAATTATATTCGTTTTAGCAATATTAAAAATGTTATTTGTTGAAAATATAGGAAGGAAAATATTAAAAATGAGGATGAAAATAAAAATTTTCAGGTCAAATAACAGGGGAGAACCACGTGCAGATCACGTGAAGGAAAATGCAGCGAATTCCGCGTTTCCCCAAACCAGTAGTCAACTAATTTATCGCCGTGGTATTTCAATTACTCGGCTCCTTCACCTCCCCCTCCGATCAGCTGTCACTTTCTTCCCGGATTCCGACCGGCGGGACTCTTCTCCGTCCACTTTCCGAGCTTTGGATGAAATCAACCCTCGATTCCAGATCTTCTCCTTCTCGCTGATTCCGTCTCCTCAGGTACTCTCAATCTCTTTCTGGTGATTACTCTCTCAGCAACTTTATTTCTTATCAAATTTGTTTCCAATATAACCATAGGGAGAAGTTCATTTTTCATCACCATTTGTTTCAGTGAACCTAATTCCTAGAATAATTCGTTTTCTTAGCAGTTTCATTAGATAACAGCAATTAGCATAAGCTAATAAGTTGTAGCTTAGTTATATTTTTGAGCTGGAGTTGAAGTCATTTTCAGATTCAGAATCTGTCAAAAAATGGCAGAGGAAATAGAGCATTAGCTAAAGTGAATTAGATTTTGACTACCCTTTAGAATGAATGGTGAGAACACAAACTAGATTTATTTATAGTGGATGCATTTTGATATTTCTGAAATTTTATGACTAGCTTTAGTTACTTCAGATGTTCTCATTGTAAGAGCACAATAATGTAGTGGAATTTTCAGCACATGGATGGATAAGAGTGGTTTGGATTTGGAACATTTTCTTTCAAACCAACTTTCATTCTTCCTCCTGAAATAATAATGATTTCAGTTGCTACTTTTTAGTCTCCAATGGTTGTTCCACCTTAGAAATGAACAGTAAGTGAAAAGTACTTCTAGATTACACAGGGCTTCTTTTTACTGACAAACCATCTAGATATGAAACTTTCTAAAGCATGGTTTTTGCAAGAATTTAAATGCACGTTATAACAGATAAATTTTGTTTTAGGCTCCTTAGGCTGCAGCAGTGTAAGGGCATGTCACAAGTGAAATATGTATGCTGGAGGCTCTACATAATAAAGTAATCTGGATGCTTTATATTGTGAACTTTCAGAATTTTGTGCAGCTCACTCTTAACTTTCCACAAACTGAATTGTAAGACTGTTCTCAGTCAAGTTTGTGATGACTTGAACAACCAAAAGAAGAAAGGGCTTCCTTGAGAGTATATGGGACTTCTAAACTCTTAGACGTAGTATGATGCCTAATTTAGAACACTTCAACAAAATCTCTCATTTTTCAAAGTTTCATCAGGAGAGCGAGTCAGATTTTGGGAGAACTCTTGGATCAATTCCACCCCTTTATCCACTACTTTCCCTGATTTGTTTGCCTTGTCTTCCAAGAAAGGTATGTCTATTGCGGATTGCTGGTGTGCAGACTCCTCTACTTGGAATCTGGGTCTTAGAAGAAATCTCTTCGAAAGTGAAATCGATAGATGGGCAAACTTTACAGAAAAAATTGAAGGGTAAGTCCTCGGGAATGGAAGGGATATTTTGTGATGGAATGCAGATCCGAGATCCCTCTGGGCGGTTTACAGTCAACTCAGCTTTTGTGGCTCTAACGACTCCTCTTAGACTGAATTCGGCTACTGCAAATCTGATATGGAATTTTAAAGCTAGAAGAAGGCTAAATTCTTCATTTGGACCCTCTTCTATAGGGGGTTAATACCGCAGACAAGCTCCAAAGAAAGTTCCCTCACTGGACTCTTTCTCCTTCTGTGTGTTGTATGTGTATGAGGAACTTCGAAACTGTGGATCACCTTTTCCTACACTGTCCTTTTGCCTCTAAAGTTTGGGGGTTTTTGGCATCGGTATTGGATCTCTCCCTTTGCATATTGCTTCTTGGTGGTCTTTGCTTCACAGGAAAGTTTTTTGTAACTACAATCTTCTTTTGCTTACACAAGATTGGAAAGCAGTGATTGTATAGAGCTTTGGGGAGAGTTTTCTCTACCCTCCGCCTTTAGGCTGTTTCCCATTTGGGGTCCTTTTTGGTTTGAATACACATCTTTTGTTTCTTATAAAAAAAAAAAAAGAACACTTCAACAGATGTAAGTAGTAGGGAAGAGTTGGAAAAACTCTTCACAAGAGATAAGGACATAATTTTCTAAAGAGAGAAGAAAGAGAGATTTGAGTGAGAATAACGTCAAGTGTGTTAACATCAAAGTGTGATCTGAGTGAATGGGGATGAGAACCTTAAGGTCTTTAGATAGGCTTGCCATGGCGTAGAAGTGTGAATTCTTGACAATTCAGAAAATCAAAGTGAGATTCTGGCGACCTTCGAAGAAGTCAAACTTTTGATTGGAAAGGAAGCCAAAGTCCACGACAGTTTTTCACCGGAAGCAGCTGCAAAGTTCCACGGAGGTCCGGCGGCGAAACCAAGCCCTAGCCCAGCGGACCTTTGGAGAGTTGAAGATGGGTTCTTTTACCCAACAGTTATTGCCTCCCCTTCTCTGGTAACAGACTCTGCAACCTCGAGACACACCATGACAAAGACAACAGAAGTAACTGAGGTACAAAAGCACTGTTTTCAAATAGGACCCATTGACGCGCCCAGAATGCCAGAGACTAATATGGGGAAAAATAGCAGTTATAAGCAAAAGGCCTCTGAACCTATCATAAAAGGAGGGGTTCTCAAAAAAGGCATAAGTACTATAGCAACAGAGGTCACACAACAACCGAGAAGGGTCGTTTTTAAAAAAGGACAAAAGGGCTCACCAAATTTCAAGAAAGGTATAGTTTTTATGACGGAAGAGGGAAGACAGGAGAAGAAAAAGAAAACCAGAAATGCAGAAATCGCTGAGAATGCTAAGAAAAAAGGCAAACAATTAGAAGTGTCATCAGAATCCTCCTGGTCTAGTGAGGAAATCCCAAGACTAGAAAGTCCCCTTGTAAAGAACCTCTCTTCAGAAATACCAGATGGATACTTTAGCTGCTTTGAACAGTCCTTGGAGGATCCTCTCGAGGAATAGAGTACAGAGTTAGTCGTAGCTAATCTTGAACTATCAGAATGTCAACCACCAGAGGCCCTCGATGAGGACAAGACAGAGGAAGAAGAGGAAAGGTGCAAAGATCCCACTCCTCTTAAGTTTTTTCCTTTACGAAAAATATGGTGATGGAGTTGTGGGAGCACAATATGTGCATTATACCCATTCCCAAGAAGGGGAAGGCTTCTGGAAAGAGTAGTAACGCGAACTCTTCAAATAGCAGAGAGGTTAGAAATTTGCTTGCTACTTGGGAGAATGAAGCGAAACTAGCTAAGCAGAGTATAGAAGCGGGTCCCTCCATTTCTAAATGAAGGTTATCTCTTGGAATGTGAGAGGCTTAGGCGCAGCCTCTAAACGGGCCCTCGTGAAGGATCTGATCCAGAAATCGGATCCAGATCTGGTTTGTATCCAAGAAACAAAGAAGAGCTCTATCGATCGGTGGCTGGTTAGATC